ACTTGATTACGACCTAGGAAAGGCTTCTGCTTCCTTCCCAATTTGGATTGCCGGAGTGGTGTCAATTCTCTTTGATGCTTTGTTTCTCATTGTGAGTAGCTCTGATAAACGGAGGAATGGAGTTGGACGCACATGTGGTTACCAAGTAGTAATAGTAATAAGTCGTCCTTTTTAAACTGTTTTATGCCTTCACTCCCAGATGTTTCAGCAACTCTCAGAAATGCTGTTTCTCGTTGCCTTTCTCGTTGCCTCTTATCTGCACACTGACTCCGACTTGACAAGGAAAGCCTATTTCTACCGGCTCGATCTGGTCCCACTCCGGAGTTCCTCCCCTTTCATGCTCAGTTTTGATTAAGTGGTTACCTTTGTAAAATCATGGAATGTAGGCAAACGCATGTGGTTACCATGTGTCATAAGATTATAAGTGTAGGGTGTAGAGTGGGAGCGGTTGAGCTGACTGATACTTCGCGTCATGTGTCCATTCTTCCAGCAGCTCTTCACCTAGGTTTCTTACCAGTTGTCTGGCTAGGGTATAAGCAGTAAACGCGCAGTAGGGGCCCTTAGCTAGACTTCAGGATCGCATCAAGAAATCTTGCCAGGATCTGCCTTTTTGACTTCTTGAAGCGGTCACATATATGTAGCTTGTTCTGGGCCAACGCTACCTTTCCTACCCAAGCCCACCTTCCTATAAGATTAATGCCAAAGTCTCAAGACATAAAATCATACGTATTATCGTATATCCATAGGAAGCTGAGCCGACCTCAGACTATCATTACATTCCAAAACCGTGTCAAAGTTGCAACTAGTACTACTCGAGAAGCACTTCTCTTGCTAATTATGTCACAATTTCGGAGATCAACTTCAATTATCGTCTTTCACGGAAGGATCCTTGACTCTAGTGCGTGTTCCGCAACCTCCAACCTCAGCACCTCAATCAGATGGGTTGTCGCCAACTGTTCGATCGTTTGTCATTTATTCGCTTTCTTCCATTCTGGAGATGCTATACTCGACGATGATCTTCGTTAGGAGAACTAGTTGCTGTCAATGTTGACCGATTTCCTGATGAAGTAAGGAGGCCTAAAACTAGAGACAGGGGAGTGGCGGAGCCCCAGAACTTCGACAGATCATTCGACACCTTCACAACACGGTTACACAAAAGGTTCTGCTTGATGATTCCGCATCAACCAACTGAGGATCTCCGTTACACGAGTGTCTCAATGAGCTGGTTCTCTCATCCTCCAACTGGAGTTATTACTGCAGAAAATGGTAGTGGAAAATGAAAGTAGGATTCTCTGTGACAACAGCAGGAGGGTTGCCGTGTCCCCCTAAAAGGAGGAGATCCGTTCGTGCAGCCTAAGCCAGAAGAGCATCCGATAAAGGTTTCGCTGTGCAGTTCGGGACTCGAATAGACTCTGTATATACTACGAGTTGCTTCTTCAAAGCCAGACAGCCACGGCTATACCCACCTTCACAACTCTCCCATGAAATCGAAAACAAGCGATCGAAAGTGTTCTATTCAGCTTCTGCATGATAGCGCTTGGCTCCAAGTAGGAAGGCCACGCTGTCCAGGTCACAAGATCTTGACTAGGGTACTATTCCCTATCCCCACAACTTCCTACCTTCGTACCTGCTGGCCATCACATTTTTTACTCCTCAGGCAATTCCTGTTGAAAAGATAAGTCCATCATTTCCAGAATCCCAAAAATGCTGTGACCGCCTTTTCCAACTCTTCTAAACTTCAAGGAGAAGAGAAGCCAATTTCTCGTCTCGCTGTTTGAATGACATAGATTAAAATGATTATTACATGGTTTAATAGTGGGAATCCATATAAAATTGTAAAGGAATTTAAAGTGCATCCTAGTGTCACAAGGCTTCGATTTCTTGGAAGGGCCCAGTGGGGGAGGAGGAGGGAGATAGTGTTAGTAGAAAAAATTCTTCAGAGCTATGTCCGAGCCTGATGAACTTCCGGATTGAAAGAAATGGTTTGTATTGATTCCAGCTGTTTATGGAGACATACTTTCTTGCCTTTTGTTTGCTTTTACGTGCTTGAAATCGTCCCGAAGGGCAAACAGCCCAAATGGTAAGTGGAGAAGGCAGTACGTTCGTTTCTGCCTGGCTATTGAACAGTCGTCATTCAAAATTGCCTTTCCGATTTGTCAGTTGCTATTCTGCCCTATTGCCCAGTTGTGGTACCCCATTAAAGCCTAAGGTTCATGTTTTTTCCACTCTCCAAGTCTTTGTTGGTTCACAGGGCCGATATTGGTGGTTTAATTTCATTTTGTTCAGGTTGCTGTGAACTTAGGTCAGGAGAGTTAATGAACAAGTGAATTAAAAAATTAATAATAATATTAGGGCTGATAGATTGATCCCTAGCTATTAGACGGATGGGCAAAGCTACTTTCTCTTCGGGGAACGCCTAAAAACAAATCGTTCACCACATGTGTTCGTTTATTTCAGCTTCGTCATATTTACATCGCCCGCATATCTTCCTTCATTTGTTTAGCTGGGCTGCGGTCTTGCTTTTTATTCACCACAATGGAATTACTATCCAGTACTACTGTCCATTTGTATCTGCTGGCCGCCTCCTTACTTTGTTTCTCTTTCATCTTGGTGTTAGAACGTTACGAGACTGAAAACCGGGGCTATGGGACTCGAAAGTTTCTCGGAAATCTCTTAGGGACTCGATAATCATCAAATTTGCATTCGCTTTGCCTTTTATAAGTGGTGAAATAAGCAGTTCAAGAGTTATTCAGCAGGGAATTCATCTAATCAGGCTCTACGGCTTTTTTGGTTCGACTATCTGTGCTTCCCAAGTTTTATAAGGCGCTTACACTCGCATATCTTCCCTCTTGATGACTTTGATAACCGTCTGAACGCTCTACGTGCACGCTCCAATCTTGATTCAAGAGCCTATCCCATTAATTTCGTCTCTGACTAGCCTCGCGCACGACCCACCCCTTTTACTATGACTTCCGCCTCCCTGCGCTCGAACTGTATGCATAAGGAGCTCCCAAGTGTTTTCCATTCCGGTTTACCATGAATAATAAATTAAGCCATGAAGCAATGAATCGTTTATTGGTAAAGGAACCAACAGGAGTGTACCCTCCATCACTACCGATCTTATTAGCATCATAAAGCAATGAAGTAATCTAAGTTTCTCAGGCTGTTGTAGTAATTTTTTCTATTTCTTTCCTTCTATGCCTGCGTTAAGGTTGATTCCTACAACATTTATCGTGTTTATTCTATTTAATTTGATTTAATTTCGTTTTGATTCAATTGTGTAGAGCGAACTTGCATTTAGAGAAAAATTGAAAGAAAAGTTGCATCGTTTCGTCACTGGTCCCTTTTTCCTAGACAAGCCTGGACCTGGAAGGAGGTCTGGAATCCAACAACAGATTTCTCAGTATTCCCAACCATCTNCTCCACCCACGGTTTCGGCATGCTATGAATTTCACAAAATCCCACCACCTGCCACTGTTTAACATGACGTTCAATCGCTCAAATATTTCGAGCATTCACCCCCGTTGCGAGGACAGTTGGCGTTGTCGTGAACAATCCTGGAAAAAATTGACCACAAAGTATTTTTGTCTTTCATATCACATTTCTGCCCGTGTTTGACTTCTACGACGTTCATTGCTCGACTATCGATTCTCTATAATACCAATATGTTCGCTAGAATTCCAAGTTCCCCGCTTTTCAACTTCATACAGCAGTATACATACGTTTTCGGCTGTCGACCCTATCTGAGCTGCGCCATGTGTGCATCCAACGTTATGGAATAGACATACATCATGTTTCCGAGTCCTTCTCCGCTTTCTTTACTACCTTAAAAAGTTTAAAGCACTTTGCATTATTTTTTCCGATTTTCTTCCCACAAATTTTCCCGATCTTTTACTTTCCCTACCACCATACCTAATTGTTGAGCTCTTGGTCCTTTCTGGGAGGCTCCAAGCATTGGATTCCACCATGTAGCCCCAACTCAATTTTCAGCTTCTTTTCCTTTATTTCTCTTCTTTGTAAGGTCTACAAGGAGAATAAGTTCTAGTATAGCTTTGGAAGCTACTTTTTATACCATCCGATCAACCTCTACCGTCCCATTCTATCCTTACTCTGCCTGATTAACCTGATTGTAAAGTTGCCTCTGAACTATTCAAAAACATCTCTGCCACTTCATCTCTCCGAGTCTTTTTGAATGTCGATATAGAAATATTTTACTCTTGGTTCAATTGAAATGGATCATTTGAAAGCCTCAATCGCATGTTTTACAGCGAAAATCATCATATTGAGCAGCTACAAGGCTCGTTAACCTGTCACCATGGTTGAGGTGAGTTAGCACAACCTTTTTACTAATTTTCATGATTATTATTTGAGACCTTGGAACTATCCTTTACTTTGTACCTCTCTGGAAAAAAANAAAAAAAGAGGGCTGCGCTGTGTTACCTTTGAAGTCAGTGGGTTCCATGGTTAACCGGAGAGGTCAAGTACGAGAAGTGAAACATGTCAGAAATAGCCTTTTCTTTTTTCCACCTCCAGTAAAACTTGCTTTTAGACCTATTCCGTACTCGTTTTGCAATTTTAAAAAGCTTTCTAAGCAGTGCTTCTCATCGCATTGTTGCAGTGCAGTTCTACAGCACATTATTTACCATCCCCAGCTTACCCAAGCTAAGAGGCGTTGTTTGCGGGATGGGCAAAGTTTACTGAGTGCTCACAAGTTGTTATTTTCTTCCATTCCCATCTTGGAAGCCATTAGAAAGTTAACCATGTTCCAGAGACCCGATAAACCCAATTGCCTAGGAGTGAGCCGTCCGTTTTGTCTTAGTCTTGTAATTGTGAGGTGGATTATTATCTGTTTGGGTCGCAGCCTTTCTTTAGTTTATTTCTAGTAACTAGTTTCCGTCAAAGCCTCTAATAATTCCTTTTTAAATCCAGTTTTTAAGCTAAAATCAAGAAGGCGTGAAAAATGTTGGGTTTGAAAATCTCTTTATCTCTTGAAGGTGATTATGGAAGCGAATATCGAAGATCGGCCCATCTCGAATGGTCTCGACTGGGATAAGCTGTTCAAAATGGCTGAAGACCCAGATCTTGAAGATCTTGATCGTGGGCCTATAGAAACGGCAATCGCTCATTTGTGAGTTCTTCTTCTATTCCTGACCCATCTTCTCTACTCTCTGTTTTAATAATTTGTCTTTGTAATTCTTTGTAATGTCTTCGTAATTTCTAATTGTCTCAGGGCCAAGTTTCTTTGTACTAACTACATATTACTGCCTAGAAGCTAGGCGCGGCCACGAGGGTGTAGGGTAGATTGTCATCATTACGCTTCGTACTGACAATGAGAGACCACTTCAAGTGGAAATTGAGTTATAAATCATCTCTCTTCACACAATTTTCCTTTGTCCTTCTTGCGATTGGATTCAATCCATCCTTTTTTTGTAAGACCTGTTAACATTTTTTTCAGAGAAGGTAAAGAGGTGCACAAGTTATCCGCGATCCGTAATCTTGGAGATTTATTTCAAAGTGAAGGAGAGGACGCAATCCAACGAGTTTTGCCAGCTGTTCAGGTGAGGCCCTTGTCGCTTGCTATCAAATCAGATCAACTTAAAAATCGGTAGCTGGCCTAAGTCAATTATTGCGTAGACTTCTTAGCATTGGGTGCGGCCAAAAATCTGAGTGGAAGTTGAGGGCATGGCGCGTCTCTAAAAGGCGACTTGTCATTTGTTGGGCCACTTTGCTTAGGTGGGCTAAGCAGGGTAGTTTTGTCATCATTTCAACATATCACAACACTGGTGCAGCCCCGATTTGTAGGGAAAAGGACTAAATCGAATAGATTGCAGCGCATTCACAGCTTTTATTCCACTCTTCATCTCCACGTCAACTCTCGGGACCGCCTCTAATCTCTGCTCATTCACAGAGTTCAACTATACTTTCTGAATATCGTGCAAGGATTCGTTTTTCTTTGAAGATTTGCGAAGTCCATCAATCTTTTTAAGTGGAATTGTTTACGAAGAAACTCAATAAATTTCCCTGAACAACTGTCTCTTGATCAGTCTGCAATCGAGATATCTTCTGCATAAATTCTCGTTCTTCGACTTCTAGCCTCTTTACCATGGGTTGAAGAAAATAATAAAAGGCTAGGAACATGTCAGGATCATCTGAGACGCGCCATGCATTCAACCTCCTGAAGTATAGCCATTTCACTGTGTATCTATCCACTGAAGTGCAAAAGTAGTGACTTGACTTCGTATTTCTGTTTGTAATCAGAATGATTTTCCTAATAGGATTGTTTCAGAGGGCACTATCAGAGGAACGGTCCAATTTAGACTTACACTGTGAAGCGGCAATCGTATTCAAAGGAATTATACAAAATGACAAGCTCTGTGCACGATTCCCGTAAGTATTTCCAGTTCTAATGACCACTGACCACTGCGTGTACGTAGCCATGGCTTATTCTGCATATCGATGATCGATTTCGTTTTACTGAAATAGATTTTTAGAAAAGAGTGGGACTTCACTAATAACACTCATGTCACTCTAAGCCCTGATTTCAAGTGAGAGTGAGGGGCGCTTCGCAGNAGGCTCGGACTTCACTAATAACACTCATGCCACTCTAAGCCCTGATTTCAAGTGGGAGTGAGGGGCGCTTCGCAGCCGCACGCATTCCAGACCACACGATGGTGGCGCTACGCAGCCGCGCGCGTCCCATCCATTATTACGCAATCGCTGCCGGAACTAACGTTACTCTGCCTCAAATCGTTTATACTTTTTTCAGAGGCCTTATCGACACGCTACTACAAAATGTACTCGAAAACGTAACAGGACAAAGGGACAACTGTAAGTTCACTATGACTTATATTTACATTTTCGTCTTCAGATTTTGTATGACGCTATTATACTTGTTTTTTAATTATGTTCATTACTTCATTACCTCTATACCCTACGATGATCCCTATGAGCTTGAATGCTTTTATACCCTTTTGTTAGCGAGTGCTTTGGACTGTACGTAGTTGTACCTGGTATTATACGTGAATATTATTTGTTAAGTTGCATTATGTTCAAAGAATGATACCATCTAACAGCTAGTTGACGCAGCAAGTAATTTCTGTAATTNACTAGTTGCTTAAATAAACATTACTAATCTTTTTAGTTTAGTAATTATGCCATTAACTGTAGCGACACTGTGTAATTAGTTTCAGTTATTACCAATGGCAATGGTAAAATTCGTATGAGAGTCGGCTCCGATCCACAGATACATTACTGTAAGTTTGATGAACGAAATCAATATTGCATGCTCCGATCGCAATTGTGCGTCATAAAGTCCCATTTTTGAAGAACGTCGCCCATAACCCAGCAGTCAAGAATTTCTGGCTAATCGTCTACCCTGCTGGCTTCTTCAACTTTCCTATCATTTTTGAAACCCATCGATACTTCATTACTCTAGGCGAACTCCATTAATTCATAGTCATTGTGTCGTTTGATTGGCATTACCTTTTCCGTTAGAAACAGTCTATGTTGAATGCATCCTTCCCTGTGCTGCATTAGCAAGTTTCCGCGACGCGACGGCGTGCGTCTCATACTGTATGCCCGCAGCAAGCATGGTCTGTTCGGGGAGAGAAATCGAATCATATTAGGCCTACAGCTTGCATTATTTAGAGTAGAAAAGGGGATTGACATGAATTAATGGAGTACGTTACCTTTGTTGTCCAGAGAGCCTTCAAAACTTGAAAAATATTGGTTCAAACCAATTGATGATTCAAAATTCCAGTGAGCGCTGCTGCATGGCTTGAGACGTTGGTAGACGTAGCGGAGAGGGTGTCGTTGGAATCCGTGAAGCAATGTGTACGTTCCTAGAAAGTCTACATATATTTAATATCATCTTGAGCCCTAATATTTTGCAAACGGGAAGGCTGAAATGCTGTCAGTTTCAGCAAAAAAAGTTAAGGTGAGCGCTCTGAAACTGGTCTTTTCTTACCTTCATTGCCTTTTCAGTACTGGGAAGGCAGTATCTCGTGCTGAGTACTAGAGGAGCAGCCTGAAGATGAGTTTTAATCGCAGTGAAATATCTATCTATGGCTGAGGACCGCTCTATAGTAGTTCAGAAAGAACCTTACGTAAAACCTTGACTGCCAGGTGACAAGAAACACCTGGAATTGCAATAACCCAGATTACTTGGAAGAATGGGTCTTTTTCACCCTCAGGAGCATGGTGTGGTAGGTACTGAACAACTTAAAATGAGGAATCAGCGATATACTGTGCGGTTCTGGGAGACCTACCCTGATTTATCTAATGGCTTCAGATTTCTATGGGTACCCTTGAGGTTACCTATCACTTTCGATAGCTTTTTACCTATTTATACATTAAAATATTCAAAAGATCATGCTACTAAATAGGAAAGGTTTAGATAGTGCCTGTTGTCCAACAACAAGCTGAACCCGCTCAGCGTGTACAGCGACGTATCATCGCTACGAAGTTGCTGCAAAAACTAGCCGACATACTGCCAGCCAACGAGTGGGTTTGTTTCCCAGCTGTTCATAATAAAATGTTTAATAAATCGGCCTCCACCAAGCAGGTCGTTTCACTGTGTGGCAGGTTTTCGAGCAATTTTACACCTAACGAGACTTGATCTGAGGGAAATGGGGAAAGGAGAGGAGAGGGAGAGAGCTACCACATGAAGAGATACAAAGCACTACTATTCGGCGCCATGTAGAGAATCTTTGGGACTGAATGTACTAACTGGCCTGGGTTATATAGAAGGTTGCTTGCCCTGGGCAGGTATCGATCTACACGGAGCTTTTCGTAATGTCTTGACCCTTGTCTTGATACACTTATGTACTGCTTTTTACTATGTTTTTCTTCTGAAGTAGTATTTTTGCTAACGGTTCAGGGTTCGGAAGGAGCTTGGACCTTGTGCCCAGATTCTCTGCCAAGATGCCAATGCAAATGTTCGTACTTCAATGGCACAACGATTACCGGTCATCGCTAAAGCGCTCAAGTTGGTTCTAAATCGCATTTATACTTCCCCTTGAAATTGCTCCTAATAATTAATATTAGCTGCGGAACTCATTGCTCAGCTGTGAAACAAAGGGGTAATCTTAAGCACGTTCCTTGTCTCTTATCGATTTTTGTCGCTATGTCGCTTCGCGTCCGCTCGCGCACCATATCTATTGATTGGTAAGATCTCGCATATTTGACCTTTTTAGAAACTCCAGCGACGTGGTATCATTACTGCTGCCATGCTTCGTTCAGTTATACAAGGATGACGACGTCACCGTCAAGGAGGCTTGCATGAATAACATTGCTCAGTGTATACCGCACTTCACAAACGGTCAGTTTACTACTAGGGTGATTAATGGGAATCTGTAGGGAAATTATTTCAGAGGCAAAAAAGAATACGGTATTCCCATTGATCAAGAAGTCAACTGAACAGAGTTTGGAGCAGAAGGACGAGACACTGATGGTAATTGCGAAAAATTTCGGAGAATGGTGAGTTTTCTCTGGGTGTATTACCGTAATTTTCCTTATTAGCATGAACGAAGATGATGGAGGTCTGGGCTAGGATGAAATGGGGCGCTTTTCGACGCGTATGTCACGTCTTTATAGCCCGGCCTTCGATTCTTTTGCTTGTCGGTGTACTACATATATGGTCCAGGAAGATTTTCACACTTAATTACCTCGTCTCAGGTGCTATACATTGCGTGACGTGCTGGACAAGCTAGACCTATGTTGGGTGCTGAACACGTACTGTAAGATAGGCCAAGCGGCTATGGTCAAGGAAGAGAATGCCACACAAAAGCTAATGTTGACGATGTGCCGACGTATGACCGGATTTAATTTGCCGGTAAGTTTCTCTGGGGAGCTTTTCTTCCTAGTGGCTTTCCTTTTCTTCCTTCCGTGAGAGAACGGCCATGCAACGGCTTTACGCTTTGTCATTAATTTTATGCAGGAGTTTACTCTATCACCTCTATTCTATGACAAAAGTATAGCCGCAATGAGCACGAGGCAAGGAAACGCTGCGCGGCCGCGCGCATTACAAGTGGGCTTTTTATAGGAATGAACAGTTGCGTGGATCATTACACGCTTATTTGCATTGGTTACCCGCATTTTTCGGTGGCAGATATTTTTATTTTATTGATCACGTTTCCGACACATCATTCACTCTCTGGGCGATTTCTAGTGAGGTAATCGTACGCGAAATAAGGTAGTCATTCACAGTGGGCGTCCTGGTTAGCGTAATCGTACAATTTCATGGGTACCAGTAAGTTTGGCTGTTTGGCTACCAAGAAGGGGGGGGGGGGGGGGGGGGGGGNGGGGGGTAAAGTCACCTTCACTAACCTAAGTGGTCAATACGGGCCAGCGATATTGACCGGGTATGCTTCGTTGCACGCGTCCGTCGAAACTAGGTCACGCCGCAGCCGTCGCATGCGGCAGGTCGGTCCGCTATACTTGACGGATGTCGCAGTTGTCTGTTGGGCATACGATTTGCCCTTGGTCCACGGAAGTCAACTCAGTGAGAATATAACACGGACAAATGCAGATCGTTCGCTCAACTGACATTTGGGGGTACTGTAAGTCATCTCGAGACCTTAGTGGGGTGCGCCGCACGCGAAGTGGGCGGGGTGACCTACTTTCGACGGACGCGCGCAACGGACGCAACGGTAAGAGCGAAGAAGTTTGTCAAGTCAGCGCCTGTCAAATGGCAAGTCCTTTGTGTCGTAGACGCGTAAGAACGTGATCTACCTCGTCGCTACTCTGCGTCTCCAACCGACGCCGAATGCTGATTTTCACTGCTTCAGTGCATGGTCATGATGTTTCCCAAATCTTTCGAACGTCTGCTACCGTTTGTCGAAGCTTTCGCGACCGATTCTGGTGAGTATAAACGGTCGCTATGGCTTTTTTTCAACTGGCTATAAATATTATGTTATACCCTACTACGTAATCATTGATTGTTTACAAGATTTTGTTCACCATGACTCGGCTTTTTGACACTGAGTAGTTTTTAAATGTTCTTGAATATGAATTCAGTAAGTGTTTGATGTAAAAAGGGAGAAATCTTATTGAGTTTACCACTTTATACTTTTCTTGCTATTCTTGCGAGTGACGAACCGAATTGTTTGCTGATCCCGGAAAACGTTAGTTTGTTCCAGAAAAAAGTAATCAATTATTTTATTGCCTCACAATGGTTGTGTATGTCATGGCGATGCATCTTGTAATGTGTCCTTGTCCGATGTAAATGTGCGGGAAGCATCAGGTCAACACGCGACGAGCAGTAGACTTGCGCAGGGAGACGGGCGTTAGGAACGATTTTGGGTGATCGATTCGCCGCACGCGGCTGTCGCGAACCACTCATTCGCCGTTATTACAGCTCTAGCGTCCTTCATACAGCTCAATCGATATGCGATCATTATTTTATGCATAATTCTAATATTAGTACTATTGTTCTTGTACTTCTTACCTACTGCTGCATCCTGCTACATTCCTTCGCGCGCGACGCCCCTCACACCGCGACGCGACCATTTCGTTCCTAATGCACCACACCCGACTTGCGCATCATGTGTGTCTTGTTCCAAAAGTTTCGATAGAGGCGATATTCAGTTCGCGTATTTACTGTTAGGGTTAAAAAACTCATATTGATTAGATTTGTTAAGTATAATCAAGCTTTTATAAGACGACTTACAGCATTAGACGATATTCCTGAGATATTGCACATTCCCATTGTTTGTTCAATTCCTTCCCTTCACCAGGAAAATCACCATTGAAAATTGAGAGACTCCTTGAAAACTTCGGAGTTGACGAATACCACCTAAGAGAGATTTGTTTATCATGGTATTAAATGGAAGGATAAGCATGATGAGGCACTCATATCAGAAAGACAACTTTACCGATAACTATCAGCAAAAACATATGTTTCTTTCAGATGACGAAGTACGGTTATCACTGGCATCTTCTTATCATGAAATTCTTATGCAGCACGATGCAAAGTCAGAACTTCTGCAACCGTTTATCGAATTGATACGTGGGGGGTCGCCAGAAGTTGTAGCAAAGGTAAGCCTTTACAAAGGCTATAACTGTAGTCCTAATTAAGAAAACCATAACTACTTCTTGATCAGTTTTGTACGACTTACTGCAAAAAATCGTGCTTTCCTGATAGTCATTTCTAAAACTACTATGTTAATGATAGATTTGAACCAGACGGATATTGGGTTTCCCCTACTTATCTTTGCACTATTCCCAAACTGCAGTCGCTGAGGAGTAGCTCACCATGGTTGGAAACCTGCCTTATTGTGACCATAAATTTGAACAACAATTGTAGAAGAAATGTGGTCATGGAAACTGATGGGCACCCAAACCTGATGTATGGTACTTCTTACCAAATAGAGTGACCCTGGAAACTGGTGGAGACCCAGACCTGATATATGGTACTTCTTACTAAATGCCTTGGGTAGAGGCGACTTAACCAATCCGATGAAGAGAGCACTCTGAATCCATTTTCTCGGTTATCGGAGAAAGCTAGCGTTGACTTGTTGGGTTTGCTTCCGTTACGTTGCTGGGAGACGCTGCACTTTTCTGATTATACGCTGCTTGAATGCGCCAAATCGTTTTTCACTACTCTAGAATTATTTAAAATTGGTTTTCATCAGTAGTGGCTCAAATGCTCACATTTGGGGGCAAGGTACCCTGTAACAGGCCACTCACAGCAAATGAAATCGGAGTCTTTTGTCTTTGCGGTTCCGTTTCCCTCATCGGGTTTATACTTTATTCAAAATCGATTATCTCGGTCGACATAGATCGAATAACCACCCGTAACGCGACAGAGTTTTATCATCTACCGCTGTTGGTGGGGTCCATGTTGCGACTCCGCGCTGAAAATGATTATTGCAGTTGATATTAATCGTTAGACAAGCATTATAACGAATTGTTCTTATCTAGCGCCTTCTCGACCTCTCTGTTGTCTTTGTTCGTCTTCCTGAATCTATTTTCAAGAAGCAGGATCGAGCCTTAGGCGTATACCCCGCCCATTTCGGTCAAATCACGCCCATGATCGAGCTCCGACAAAATAATCAATGGTCTCAATGAATACGAACAATGCAAACTCATTACATCTCTTTTTATCATAATATTCAGATGAAAATTATATCTCGAAGAGGTAATTAATTGAATTTTCCAGCTGACTCTTAATATGGACAAAATACTACCGATATTGTACGGCTGTGCATCACCAACGAGTGGACCAGGGGTACGTATTCACGTGACTGCTTTTCAAAAATATACTGTTCAACTGAATTACAGAAAGTTACTACTATCCAGTTGGACAGAATTCTTATTGGCTGCAATCAGTTATTACGTGGAACTGGCGCATGGAGAAGTCATGCAGCTCTTCTGGAAAACATCAGTGTACTGAAGACGTGTCTACCATACACACAACTAGCTGACACCTTTATTCCGGTCTTGCAGAAGGAAGTTCTACAAGCTGTGAGTCGTTCACCGTTTTCTGAAACACTTCTCCTTGCTCCATTTCGATTTTTAGAGGGCTATCCCATGCCGAGTGGCGGCTGTCAATACATTGCTGCAATTTATGCGGGAGCAACCGGATCTGAAAAAGCGTGAAGAGATTATTGACTTTTTCAAGATAGGTCAGTGAAGTTACCAGTAATCTGTCTAAAAAACAAAAACACGGAGCTAGATTGCGTTGGCAGGGCTGCGCCATGCTACCATTCTTCATCGGAATCATAAAAGCTGATTGTAAGGGCTCATAGCCTATATTCGGCTACTCAAGAATAAACGTTCTATGAACGACATCTTAGTTGCTCTAGGATGAAGCCAGGGGAGCCCTCAAGGAAATTTGCGATGGTGATATTATGGTATTTGGGGTCCTGCGGAAGTTGTTTTCGCGCTCTAAAAGTGACTCCCCAACTTGCCTCGTCAATACTTACATCCTGTGCTTGTCCTACCTCGAGTCCACATTTCATAGTGTACATGTTGTCAGAGCGCCCCTAAATTTCTTTTTCGTTCAGAAGTCCCTTTGAAATTTCGGCGTATAGAGTTTTCTGGTACGAGGAAAACCGCTATTAAAGTGACGCTTACCATCTACTTTACCTCAAACAATGTCCTGCTACCACAATGATCTCACAGTAAAGTAATTGAAGACAAGCGAGATGCTCGAGTAAAGTTTTTCAGAAGTAGCTGGACACCAATGCTGTTATCGTCGAATGCTGTATTTGGACGTAGTCGAGTGTGTATTGAAGATATTTAGCAGAAAGTTCTTCATAAAATATTTCCTAGAAAAAATGCTATCACTCATTCAGGATAAAGTTTCGAATATAAGGTGAGTACGTTCCCTTCACACTGCCTTTATCTATTTGATTTAAGTAGCGTATCACCGGAAAGGTAACAAGGAAGTAGTTGCCTGAGAATTAGATCCGAGTGGTGGCTATTACGACCATACGTTCAAGAGAGGGGCATGGCTTCGGAACAATGGCCTTACTTTTCATAGTTGTTTCCGTGTACCGATTTCCGATTTCCGGGAACTCCAAGGAGATACGGAACCCATGTCGTGCCATTAATCGCACATGTGCATGCTGTCTATGTCATTATTTCTTCCGCACTAGAAAGCAGATTAGAGGAAGGGATAAAGAGCGTGACGCACGAAACCCTTACGGGTTCGAGTCCCATCCGAGACTTAGCGTTATTCCCGCAGCTCCTCATCATTGTGAAATGATGTTGTTTTAGGCTCCGGACGATAAGGATGCTACCACTTGTGAAGAAGTATCTAATACTGCCAGATGACGAGGAGGTACTGTTGTCACTGGAAAAAGCTGTTCGGGAGGTGCTCACCACTGAGAAACAAGGCAGTACACGACAATTGCTACAAGCGGTAAATAACCACAATTTTTTGCCCTTGGCTGCTCCACGTCGGTTTTCCAGGCCCTGGTGGTTCGTTTATATGAAAGTGCCAGTTTGGAGCTTTCGGATCTTAAATTAATCCACTGCGTTATCCTCTCTCTGCCTAAGCTCGTCCTAATCTCTTTGAGACAGCTAGAATTGTATAAATGAATTGTATTCAGGCGGCGTGTGAGCTTTCACGAACAGAGGCTAGGGCGAAGAGTGACAAGGAAGATGCAGCTCGTGAGAAGGAAGAGGAACGTCTTTGGAGTCAGGACAGGGTGATACAGAATACACCACCTAAAGCAGAGGATTCCCCCAGTCGAGCGAAAACTGCAAAAAATCTTTCTGTCACAAAGTAAGAACATTATGACTGTCAGGATTTGATAAGGTGCTCACTCAGACACTTTTGCAGGTCGTCGGAATCCCGCAACACTTCCCCATGGAGAACACAACGGCGTGCTGTTGCTGTGGTTCGACCGCAGCCAGTAGTAGTTATGAGGTCAGTTTTCGAGTCTCGTCCCGAATAAGGACCCTGTTGTGGGAAACATGGAGCTTGATGCTTTAGATCAGCCAGTCCTGTACCAAAACTTGCCGAATCAAACGGCCGACCGAGCCGTTTACCACTCAGTACCGCGTCTAGAGAAAAAGAAGCTCTAAAGAAAGGTTAGTAGAAGTGCCATCTCTTAATGAGTCGGAAACGCTAAGGAATTTGTCCTGAAAACCGAATCACGTTTGAAAAAAAGTTCGGCAAAGTTGCAGCTGCCACCAGTTTGGAGAAAGAACTGCCCCGTCCACCGCCCAGGACGACATCTGCTCGAAATGTTATGAGCACGTCGACGTCGTCGTTAGAGACTTCTTCAAGTTCATCAGGTCAGTTCTTCCCTCAGAATCATCCTCAAGTGGTGAGAGCCTTTTCCTTGTTGGTGTTGCCATTTCTTCTCGATTGACATCGCAACGGTCAAAATACTTGTAACTTGAGTGAAGTCAACCTTTTTAAGGTGCTTCCAACTCGACAAGTCTGCGAAGATCCTCAACTACGTCTTCGTTTGGAGGTTCGACTTCCACCTCGTCCTATTCACTATCACAGTCCAGGTGAGGACCAAGAATTCTCTTGAGGATGGTTCCGTGTAAGTAGTGATACGGGTCGAGACAATCGAGAAAATTATCTCGTTGATATTTAGTATCAATAGTGCAAATAGTGTCGTCACAATCGAGAAAGCCTCTCATCTTTCTTTTTTTGCTCTTCTATCCGCCCTAATAACCGGCCTATGACGCGGGCAGCTGCGGCGCGGCGCGACCGTAGTGTTCTGCTGTGTACCAGCCCTTTGAATGATATTGCGCTTATCTCATTGCTGATACTACTGTAATAATGTATATTAATGAAATTAAGGTAATGTAAAGTGTATTTATATCGATAATGATTTTCATCAATTCAGGTCGTCATCCAACTTACGTCGTCCATCTTATAGTCTGTCACGCGTTTCCAGTCAAAGCACTTTGGAAAGGAAGCCGGGGCATTTGTCGATGAAAGTTCGAACCGCTGACTCCTAGTTCGTGTTGAAACCTTTTCTTCTTTGGTTTTCAGTATTCCTTCTCTTTTACCAGGGTTTCTCATGTGCTCAGTGCTAAGCTTTCATTTCGAAATTTCAAGTCGTGATCAGTGGACTTGTCTTTTGTAGTACATTCCAACGTGAGGTGGGCAATGTATATGACCGGGTTCATGAGCACTCAACTTAGTTTATAAGAGTTTTTTTTTGGCTTAGTTCGAACTCTTTAGGCTGGTAGAAACTGTGCACGGCACTTTCTTTTGTATGCATCGTTCGTAGCTGTTCAGGGTTTACATAGGCAGTATTACATTTGCCTTTATGTGATTGCAGTGTCGCGACGCAACCGCGCGCGGCAGACTTTACGAATCTCGGCTGGCCTCACGTTGGGAGATGGAGTGGATATGTTCGCTAGCTGAAGTTTTTTTAAAGGAACTTTTCGTCTGTGTACTTGATCAAATCAGTTTATCCTTGGATCTAAATAGAAGCACATTTATATAAGTATTTCTTATAGACTCGCCATATTTTAGTAGTCCGTAGATAGAACCATATCTCCTGCCTACACCCAATAGATTCAGTTTGTTTTGACCTCTATGAAGCTTTACAGAGTTGCTCTTTGTTTGCCATCTCATTCTTCCCCTTAAACGTGTCTGAAGTGCCTTCTCGTGTAAGTATTATACTTGTTTATACTGTTTTTTTTTGAAAATCTATAAATCGTTATAATCTCCCATTCTGAGCATGTAAAAATTCCTCATAAAACAAGGATTCAAAGAGGTAATCTCTCGGCCAATACCACTCCAGAGTTGGAATGAGGTGGGATGAAAACTTCCTTATCAGGGGAGGCATTAAACTTCCCACGGAACTTCAAATGAAGGCTTGGGTACTTCGTTAAAGTTCAGAGTGTTGTTTACAGATATATAAACTGACACTGCTGAATGAGTTTCCTATACAAGTAATCAACCCATAAAATGCGCTTCGAGATAGTATCAGTTGAAATGTGCAGCTGTACACACGATAACAAGCTGTTCCATGGTACATGGGAAGTTGAAACCCTTCTGCAGTCAAAAGAGCAGAAGGTAGTAATTACAGGATTTCAAAAAACACCGGCCACATCATGTAAAAGTGCACATTCGAAGAAATAGAGAAAAAATAAAATAATAAAACCCAAGGAATACAAATACAATAAAATGAAATCAAAATCAATAGAGCAGTTGAAAATAAAAATAATTCTGGTTTGCCAACATATCACTCATCAACATGGAGGCCTAACTCGTGGTTAACAGAATAGGGAAATATAAAACTGGAAGCACTAACTTCAAATAATGATACAAAAATTGGATTTTTTTCAAGAACTTCTGAGAAAAGGTAGGAATTGATTGCATTTTGACGATGAATGACGTGATAATAAGATTTTTTACATTCTGAATCCGAACATAGTAAAATTACCAAATGAATTGGGCTGCAGACTGAAAATGCGCTGACGTGTTTTCTTTGCGATCGATGCCGCCCCGGTCAACCCACAGCATCGTTTCCATTTATCGCTGGTTAGTATCGACACGCTTTCGGGTCTTTCTTGGTTTTTCTCGATCGCAAAACGTTCTTCTCACTCAGCAAATTTTTTATACCGAATGCTACTGTTAAAACTCACTAAAATTTAAAAAAAAATAGAGATTTCCATTTTAAAAATCCTTTTGTCACTTACGAACCACAAAATGGTCTTTGATATGATGTATCTCAGTTCAAACGTCGTTATCTGCAATATATGCTGCTGAAATTGTTGACAAAGTGCGATTACAACCTACGAACGGTACTGATATGAGGAACTATGATAAGTCACATATGATTTCCTAGGCGCACCTTAACGAACACAATGAAAGTTCGTGAAAATTGGAAAATTGCCAGACAATAGCATCAAAGGGTAAACAAGCAAGTTATGATGGCTTGACAGCCCTTTAGCAGTGTAATCTTGAGAGGCTCTAACCGGTGTCCTCCTCCATACGAGGTGTTCGAATCAATACTGGCTGTGTGTGGTCTGCGTGGACGGGCCACCCGGCCAGATAGCCACCGGTCACTCTTTCGCCGAATGATTGGCCAACATCGAGCTGTCCCCCTCCTCGCAAGAGCTACTAGGTGTTTGAGAAAAGTACCGGTAAGTACTTATAGAGAGCGTAGGATCTTTCCAGTTTGTTTTTTATTTAAAAATCCAAAACGTATAATTTTGGACGAATTATTTTTTGTCATCTACCATCAATTATCACATCGTATATCCTAATCTAAAGATTTATCTCTGGGCAGGAATCTCTATCATCTCGGCCGTATGCTTCCCTCAACTTGTGGAAAAAGGAAATCACTCCCGAGGATACCGATTTCCAGGTTCTGTACATTCACCTTACTCAAACAAAAATTTAGCATGGACTCCTTTAGCCCCAACCCTGTTCCTACTTTTTCACGAAGGACTTTTCTGTCGAAGGGGTTCGTTGGAGCATTGAAGCTTCGCTATTTGGAGAATCTTTTTGAGAACTCATTTTTTTAAATGAGAAAGATCTGTTTAGCTTNCAGTTTACCTCAGTGGTCACAGAACAATAGGAGAATTCGGTTCACAAAAAAGAAAGTCTCGGAAACTCCTGTCTCTTTCAGCATTTATGTGTAAAACCGGTCAGTAAAGCCTGTGTGTTTACTTTCCGAATTATTTACATAGGGTTTGTTGTGAAGTATTAGTTGAAGTTAAAAATTTTCTGATGAACCGAAGAACGTACGGCCTTCTCTCATCACTTCAATCACTATGTGCAACCCTCTGAGAAGACGAGGAGTTCCTTGTGTTCCTTGAGAATCTAATCCATGTGGATGAGACCATTTCTAAACACACTTTTCCTACTAAGTTTGATAAAGTTCTTGACATGAATAATTTTTTTACCATTAAGAGATTATAAAAATTCAAAAATTGCTGGTCCTTGTTCAGTATGCCTTTCACTTTATTCTATGTTTGTCCATCTTTCTAATTAATCACCATGATGTCAACAAAAGGCAACTGTTGTAAGCAGCCACCCAGTTCCACTTTACTCCAATCAACAACCCCTTTGATTAGACCTCTCTTTTGGTGTTTTTCCCCACTGGAGCCCATAATACCTTGCTTTATTGGTTTTTCACAATATTTCTTCTCAATCACAAGTTCATTTCTTACAATCTGTTGTGATTGCTCCGTGAATTTGAATCCTGAATTACGAAAAGCCAGGCAATGCCACATATATAAGACGCCTTATGTTTTGCATGTTTTTCGACGGTATTAAAATAAAGTCGACCAATAATTAGAATGAGTTTGTAGTTTTAAGATGCCCTCTTTGAGAGATACCGTATGGAGTTGTCAAATTATTCTGATGGGAGCACTCATCATTCGCCATCTGTGGGTGAATTTGTGCTCTACTCACATAAAACTTGTTTCCTTCCATGGTGTTATTAATAGCACGCATTCTGCAGCAGTCTCTAATTTGATTTTTATTTTTGCCTGATTTTAATATGTAAAATTTATTTTTATAATTTATTCCACAAGTAGCACCGGAAAGATATCGATCGAACCCTCTTATGAATAGCACTCATAACAGTAGTATCATAACAAAAGAAACCAGCCTGCTTCGGTCGAGAGGTTCGTTAAATTTCTCATATAAGTATCAGGCACAAGTCGACTAGAAAAGGCACTGCCTTTACGGGGCTCCCAACTTCTCTCCCTAGACACCACTACAGCTATCCAGCCTGGGGAATTCTGTTAACGATAACGGAGTAGAGGGACATGGAAGAAGGTGGATGGGAGGAAGAAGTGAAGTCCAGGTGGAGGTGAAAACAATAAGTCAGCCACAAAACTCTTCAAATCTATCAATTCATTACCCAATAGATCTAGCCTATAAAAGGCCAATACGATCCACTGTCTGGAATTCCGTGATAAACGACCCTGATCGGGAGCAGCAGTTAGTCTGTGATGGTGCAGGGTAGGAGGGTAACGGGCCGTAGGGAGAAATAAGATTGTTGACAACTGCCTCAAACCAGCTGGTTATTTCCAGTTTGTTTGTCACGATTGTCAACTAAAGAGTGGGGATCTAGCACGGTAAGGTCGATTTCCACGCGGCTCATATTTGTAATGTAATTTTCCGAATTTGCGAACAGATTAATGAAGCGTGCATTAACAATTTCATTTAAAATCAAGGTGCCTGGTCAAAACACTATAATCTATTTTTTTGAGCAAATCGATACGATAAATACGGAAATTCATCAATACAAGCAATGG